CATAGCAAATTAGAACACATTTAGTAGCTAGCTAAAGAAATATCTTTTAAGAACATATTTTTCCTATTATTTTATATTCTTGGAAAAGTAATGCATTTATTTTGCATAAGTTTTTGATTCTGAAACTTTATCAATTTTTTGGAATTGACATATTAATAATAAATACATCAATATGCTTATTTCCATAAATTCTAGATTTCTTGTTAGTTTATATTTTTTATATTTTACCATTAGAATCTAGATATTATGCAAAATAAACGCAAATAAGGAATTTTTTGGAATAGCTAAAATTTTATTAATTTCTTGGAATTATAATTTGGCAGCTATAAATCGGAGCTGAGTGTAAGCGCTTGCGTTCTGTTTGAAACTTTTACTCTCACCAATCATCTAGTACAAGGCAAATCGAGTATTTGAAGAAATAGTTGAAGATTATCGGGCTACTGGAAAGATTGAGGAATCCGATCATGCGTGACGAAATGACATTGAAGCCTAGTCTCTCAACTTGGGTTTGCTTGACTTACACTTACACTAAAATTTTTATGTAAAAGCAAATCCATCGCAAGAAATTAAGAAATTTGCAGCGTCATACAACACCATTGAATTGAAGAGGATCAAAGATGAAGATAGTGAAAATTTAAATCTGTTTGTATAGTCGACCCACACGTTTAACAATCACCAAGAAGTTTATATCGGATAAAATTTATCATATCATTGAGATACTTATGAAAATTATAGATATAATACAAAGATAAAAGAGATGGGAGCTTTAGAAATAGAAAGAAGATAAAAACTTGTCAGAAATAGAAAGAAGATAAAAACGGATCAAATTTACGTTAACCGTTGTGACGTGTATACATAATTGGAAGAGAGGATTTTCTTGTAATTTACTGTGTTGATTACCAAAAATAATTGATAAAACTTTCTGGAGCGCTTTCATTCTGTGAAATAATAAGTTTCTTTTCCACGAAACGCTATGATCTGAAAAAAATAAATTACGAATATTATACATTATGACAATAAATATCTTTAAATCTCTCTTTAAAAATGTAAAAAATAAAAAATTTCTCCACGTTTAAATCTCTATTTACCCGCGGAATAGATTTTATTACAAGAGAAGATAGATCGGTAGAATAAGGACTTAACTGGAAATACACTTCTGGTCACAATGAATCTAATAAGAGTCTCGCAAGTATCGTGCTTTCTGCTTCGAGAGGAGGTCAAAAGAAACCCGATACCGCGATTCAAACATCTCGGGCATATCCCTCAAGATTTACGTCGGATTGCCTCGCGTCCGCCGACGTACGGCGAATGCGCGCACGCGGACACAGACGAGTAGGGAGAACGTTGGAAATTATCATCCTGCCAAGTCACGGATACTTGACTGGCTATATAACACGAGGGAGTCGTGCACCGTGGCAATAGGAGCCGCTCGTTCTAAAAGTCCGGCATAGAAATCTCTCGCTCTCTCCACGAGCGCGGACGTGCATAGCCAGCCAGCCAGCCAGCCAGCCAGCCAGCCAGCCAGCCACCGACGACGACACGACGACGACGCAATGCAGCAACGGGACAACGTTGCAACGTGAGAGTTCCAGCCAGCGATGGTCTCAAGACACTTGGAATCACCTCGTTGAAAACCTCGAATTGTTCCGAACATTTGCTCGAACGTATTTGAGAGTCTTGAGAAGGCAAATTCAAATTTAATAAAGAATCTCATACGGCAAGATGTGCCTGGAAAAAAATATTTGCAAGATTTTTATAAATTATTTAACAATTTGAAATTACTCTACGTCGTATATCTAAAGTTACTTGAGTCCGTCTACTATTCATCGCTAGTTGCAACGACGCGACGGCTACAATCAAAACGCATGAGCCGCACTTGTATGCAAATTATAGCTAGCTGCGCGAGATGCAAAGAGAGAGAGAGAGAGAGAGAGGGGAGGGGGA